GGATGTCGTGAAGAAGATTGAGGCAGTGGGGAGCCAGTCTGGCAAGACTGCCAAGCCTGTGATGGTTGCTGACTGCGGCCAGCTGGAGTAGATAGACAACCGCAGAACGCCATGTGTTTACGGCGCTGGTGTCTTTTGATTGACTTGTGGTTGGCTCACAATCTTGGACCACGTGTCGAGCTACCAGCGGGCAGCTCTTGGAATACAGGGCTGCGCTGCTTTTGCAAGTAGGTAAGCTAGGGGGCGCAAGCCTGCAAGCAAGCGTCTGACCGTTCAGCCATATGAGCAAATTCAGAAAAGAAGCAAGAAGGTTGACAGGCATTTTTGTTGACGCAGTGCATGGCAGAAGCATTGCGAAAGCAAGTGCGCATGAGCACCAGAGGCGTGCTACTGGATTGTATTTGCAGCGCTTGCTCTCAAGCTGGTAGACGATAGGTGAACTGCGGCACAGCTTGCCCCTGTAACAAGCAATGTCGAACCCAAAAGTCTTCTTTGCGCGGGGCTCAGCCAGCACAGAATTGAGAGCTTGTAGCGGATTTGGTTATGTGAGAGGCATCCATAGGTTTGAGTGTTTGAGTGGCTCACGTTTTCTTGGGAAGACCTAGAACTGTTTGGATGGGTTGAGTGAGTAAACATGTTCATTTCCTTGGAGTGCTGAGCGTGCCAGCCTGCCCAGGACATGACAATCGGTGGCACGGCCGCAGGCCGCATCACCATGGAGCTGAAGGCAGACGTTGCTCCGAAGACCGCAGAGAACTTTCGTTGCCTTTGCACCGGCGAGAAGGGCACGGGCAAGTCGGGAAAACCACTGCACTTCAAGGGCAGCGCTTTCCACCGCGTGATCCCGGATTTCATGTGCCAGGGCGGAGATTTCACTGCCGGGAACGGCACCGGCGGCGAGTCCATCTACGGTAGCAAGTTCGCGGATGAGAACTTCACCCTGAAGCACACCGGCCCGGGAATGGTTCATGGCGAATGCTGGCCCCAACACCAACGGCTCGCAGTTCTTCTTAGACTGTGAAGACTGTTTGGCTGGATGGCAAGCACGTATGGTGTTCGGCTCTGTGATTACGGCATGGATGTCGTGAAGAAGATTGAGGCAGTGGGGAGCCAGTCTGGCAAGACTGCCAAGCCTGTGATGGTTGCTGACTGCGGCCAGCTGGAGTAGATAGACAACGGCAGAACGCCATGTGTCTACGGCGCTGGTGTCTTTTGATTGACTTGTGGTTGGCTCACAATCTTGGACCACGTGTCGAGCTACCAGCGGGCAGCTTGGAATACAGGGCTGCGCTGCTTGTGCAAGTTCGTTCAGCCATATGAGCAAATACAGAAAAGAAGCAAGAAGGTTGACAGGCATTTTTGTTGACGCAGTGCATGGCAGAAGCATCGCGAAAGCAAGTGCGCATGAGCACCAGATGCGTGCAACAGATGCGTGCAAGATCATACTGGATTGTATTTGCAGCGCTTGCTCTCAAGCTGGTAGACGATAGGTGAACTGCGGCACACAGCTTGCCCCTGTAACAAGCAATGTCGAACCCAAAAGTCTTCTTTGCGCGGGGCTCAGCCAGCACAGATTTGAGAGCTTGTAGCGGATTTGATTATGTGAGCGGCATCCATAGGTTTGAGTGTTTGAGTGGCTCACGTTTTCTTGGGAAGACCTAGAACTGTTTGGATGGGTTGAGTGAGTAAACATGTTCATTTCCTTGGAGTTCTGAGTGTGGCAGCCTGCCCAGGACATGACAATCGGTGGCACGGCCGCAGGCCGCATCACCATGGAGCTGAAGGCAGACGTTGCTCCGAAGACCGCAGAGAACTTTCGTTGCCTTTGCACCGGCGAGAAGGGCACGGGCAAGTCGGGAAAACCACTGCACTTCAAGGGCAGCGCTTTCCACCGCGTGATCCCGGATTTCATGTGCCAGGGCGGAGATTTCACTGCCGGGAACGGCACCGGCGGCGAGTCCATCTACGGTAGCAAGTTCGCGGATGAGAACTTCACCCTGAAGCACACCGGCCCGGGAATTTTGTCTATGGCGAATGCTGGCCCCAACACCAACGGCTCGCAGTTCTTCTTGTGCACTGTGAAGACTGCTTGGCTGGATGGCAAGCACGTGGTGTTCGGCTCTGTGATTGATGGAATGGATGTCGTGAAGAAGATTGAGGCAGTGGGGAGCCAGTCTGGCAAGACTGCCAAGCCTGTGATGGTTGCTGACTGCGGCCAGCTGGAGTAGATAGACAACGGCAGAACGCCATGTGTCTACGGCGCTGGTGTCTTTTGATTGACTTGTGGTTGGCTCACAATCTTGGACCACGTGTCGAGCTACCAGCGGGCAGCTCTTGGAATACAGGGCTGCGCTGCTTTTGCAAGTTCGTTCAGCCATATGAGCAAATACAAAAAAGAAGCAAGAAGGTTGACAGGCATTCTTGTTGACGCAGTGCATGGCAGAAGCATCGCGAAAGCAAGTGCGCATGAGCACCAGATGCGTGCAACAGATGCGTGCAAGATCATACTGGATTGTATTTGCAGCGCTTGCTCTCAAGCTGGTAGACGATAGGTGAACTGCGGCACACAGCTTGCCCCTGTAACAAGCAATGTCGAACCCAAAAGTCTTCTTTGCGCGGGGCTCAGCCAGCACAGATTTAAGAGCTTGTAGCGGATTGGGATATGTCAGAGGCATGCATAGGTTTGAGTGTTTGAGTGGCTCACGTTTTCTTGGGAAGACCTAGAACTGTTTGGATGGGTTGAGTGAGTAAACATGTTCATTTCCTTGGAGTGCTGAGTGTGCCAGCCTGCCCAGGACATGACAATCGGTGGCACGGCCGCAGGCCGCATCACCATGGAGCTGAAGGCAGACGTTGCTCCGAAGACCGCAGAGAACTTTCGTTGCCTTTGCACCGGCGAGAAGGGCACGGGCAAGTCGGGAAAACCACTGCACTTCAAGGGCAGCGCTTTCCACCGCGTGATCCCGGATTTCATGTGCCAGGGCGGAGATTTCACTGCCGGGAACGGCACCGGCGGCGAGTCCATCTACGGTAGCAAGTTCGCGGATGAGAACTTCACCCTGAAGCACACCGGCCCGGGAATTTTGTCTATGGCGAATGCTGGCCCCAACACCAACGGCTCGCAGTTCTTCTTGTGCACTGTGAAGACTGCTTGGCTGGATGGCAAGCACGTGGTGTTCGGCTCTGTGATTGATGGAATGGATGTCGTGAAGAAGATTGAGGCAGTGGGGAGCCAGTCTGGCAAGACTGCCAAGCCTGTGATGGTTGCTGACTGCGGCCAGCTGGAGTAGATAGACAACGGCAGAACGCCATGTGTCTACGGCGCTGGTGTCTTTTGATTGACTTGTGGTTGGCTCACAACCTTGGACCATGGGTCGAGCTACCAGCGGGCAGCTCTTGGAATAGGGCTGCGCTGCTTCTGCAAGTAGGTAAGCTAGGGGGCGCAAGCCTGCAAGCAAGCGTCTGACCGTTCAGCCATATGAGCAAATTCAGAAAAGAAGCAAGAAGGTTGACAGGCATTTTTGTTGACGCAGTGCATGGCAGAAGCATCGCGAAAGCAAGTGCGCATGAGCACCAGATGCGTGCAAGATCATACTGGATTGTATTTGCAGCGCTTGCTCTCAAGCTGGTAGACGATAGGTGAACTGCGGCACACAGCTTGCCCCTGTAACAAGCAATGTCGAACCCAAAAGTCTTCTTTGCGCGGGGCTCAGCCAGCACAGATTTGAGCTACAGGATTTGGATTATGTGAGCGGCATCCAGGTTTATGTCGGAGTGGCTCACGTTTTCTTGGGAAGACCTAGAACTGTTTGGATGGGTTGAGTGAGTAAACATGTTCATTTCTTGGAGTTCTGAGTGTAGCCTGCCCAGGACATGACAATCGGTGGCACGGCCGCAGGCCGCATCACCATGGAGCTGAAGGCAGACGTTGCTCCGAAGACCGCAGAGAACTTTCGTTGCCTTTGCACCGGCGAGAAGGGCACGGGCAAGTCGGGAAAGCCGCTGCACTTCAAGGGCAGCGCTTTCCACCGCGTGATCCCGGATTTCATGTGCCAGGGCGGAGATTTCACTGCCGGGAACGGCACCGGCGGCGAGTCCATCTACGGTAGCAAGTTCGCGGATGAGAACTTCACCCTGAAGCACACCGGCCCGGGAATTTTGTCTATGGCGAATGCTGGCCCCAACACCAACGGCTCGCAGTTCTTCTTGTGCACTGTGAAGACTGCTTGGCTGGATGGCAAGCACGTGGTGTTCGGTGCTGTGACGGATGGCATGGATGTCGTGAAGAAGATTGAGGCAGTGGGGAGCCAGTCTGGCAAGACCGCCAAGCCTGTGATGGTTGCTGACTGCGGCCAGCTGGCGTAGATGGACAGTGACCAGCCGTATCTCTTTGGAGCTGTTTTGGAAGTATCTAAGGTCATGGAGCAGCAACAAGGCTTGTCTGCTTCTTTGTCCGTACAGACCAACAGCATTTGTCGTGTGGCTTTGCGTAAAAGCGCAATCTGCAAAGACAAGCCATCGGGTCTTGGGTTGACTTTCGTTTCGGTGCGGCTGCCGTTTGACGGACAGAGGCAGCTTGTGACTCATGGCTGTTATCGAGAGCGGATTCTGCAGATTGTGACCCTCAGGCATCGCCACGACAACAGGCATCTTGTGACTCAGGCTTTAGTTTGCTGTTTTCTGCATAAGCAACTGAAGGCGGGATATTTTGGAGGAAGCCGAGGTTTTGCATTCCACACAACATGGGTGTCAACTAGAATTGACAATGCACAACTTTTTGATGGTCTGCTTGGAATGGAAGCCAAAAGGAAGCCAATTTGCATTCCTTGGACGCACTCAAGCGTTGCAGGACCTACCAAAGAGTTACTGTTTCTACCCGAGATCTTTCGGACCAGCCCATCCACCAATGTAAGCTGCCGCGTTGAAATCCTGTGAACTTAGATGGTTCCTATCCCCAAAACCTCTCAACATCCAGTATGTAACCGCGAAACGCCGACTTGAGGTGCAGCTGAATGACATCGGCGCCCGTGGCTCAGTCCCCGAGGATTGTGTTTGGATCCCCTGTTTCCCGTTGTGATGCTGGCAATGCGTGCAAATTTGACATGGAAATCCAGCGACTGTCATTTCGGCACGCAGACAAAGCAGAGTCATGGACAGAAGGAAAGTTCTGGCCAGGTCGTCTTCAACTTGCAATGGGTGTGTGACATTGTGGTGATTTATGTGTTTTGCTATTCGGGCGTCCTTTCAACTTGTGCTTGACTCTATTATTTTGTAAGCTGCGAGTGGCTGAGCAAGCTCCAAAACTGGCTTGTTTGGTTTGGTTTGATTGCCGGAAAAGGTTTCAAGCCGCTGCAGTTCTTGGGGCAGGAATTGGGTAGGCTTTAGAGTCTAGACTGTTGTAGGCCTTTGGCAAGGTGGTTCTTTTGCTTGTTTTTGGGTCTTGGAATTGTTGGGGTTGGTTTTGGGTCGAGCTTGGGTGAACCTGCGTGGCTCTCGTTTGGGGCTTGTAAGAGTGATGATCGCCAATGTCCCCTCTATGCTTCCTACTTGACCGCTCTGTTCAAACATCCCAGGACCTTTCAGGTCTTGTGCACATGCCTGGCACCAGGTTTCGACCGATACCCTTGGGAACCTCAGGGCTACATGGGGGAGGGCTCCACGTGGGGAGTCGGCAATGTTCTGAACCCAGAGGCCATGCCTGGCAACACTCGTGTGGACCACGTCAGGGCAGCCCAGGGAGCTGTTTTGTTTGTTGAGCCGTTTCCGAAACGGTGAACATAGCTGCGGTTCCTATCTTCAATTATTCTGTTGGTGCTGGTTGTGTTTTTGAACATGCCTATGTACAGGTTTGTAAGTACATGTATGTTCACATGTTTGTACTTGGCGGACGTTTGTTGACTAGGCTGGGATGTAGCTGCCCTTTCTGAGATGGACTATGATGCACTGATACGATTGAAAGGTAACCCACCAACATTCCATGTCAGTGTTTAAGAGCAATATTGGTTCACACCCACCGAACTCGGTTTCACGTCAGAAAAAAAGGAGAAAAAACCTTAAGCACCGTATCCTAACAAGGCACCGTTTGCAAAGTGGGTTTTCATCCTTGGAATCCAACTAAGTTTTGAAACGCGGGATCTCGGGACGTGTTTTTTGCGTTGCTGGTGGGCGATATTTTCTGGGCCTGTGGCCTCTAGCCGGCTACGCCTCTTTGAAGTTATGCCATGTCATGTCATGTTTTTTGTATGAGAAACGTATCCTGTGCTATGATATGGCTGGTTAGGTTATGCATGTTGCCCACCCCAACCCCAGATGATGCCGGGGATGCCAGCTTTCTGGGCCCCAGCCGGGCCCCAACCCAGAAGGCTGACATGGGGTCACGCGCGCGCGCCAGAGGCCCCAGAAAGAGCAGCCCAAAAAGAGCAGCCCGCAAGCCAGCCCGGAAACGCAAATGCAACAAAACACCGTACATAGCAGCGTTTTGTGGCTGGGGTCGCGCGCACGTGCGCGCGCGCCAGAAGGGCCGAAAACCAACGGGAAAAAAGCAAGGACTGCGCAGCTCGCGAGCCAGCCACAGCAAAAGCAAAACGGACAGAGCAACAGTCAGAAAAGCAGTTTTTGACGGTATTTACAGCGTTTTGTAGAGCGAGGGCCCAGCATCGCCGGCATGCCCGGCAGCGCTTGGCGCCAACATGCGCGAAAATGAGCCTCGCTTATATCCCTCCGATGCCTTCTAAAAAGCAGTGCTTCATGGGTTGAGAGGCTTTTTGGAAGGAAGTCTTGATGATGCAGACCAAGCCCCGCTGAAGCATCACCCAGGCCCCACCCCAGACCCTGCTGATGTCAGCCACATGGCCTAAACCCTGCATATACGCCAGCGATGTTTCGCGATGGTTTCCCACAGGCAAGCCAAACCGCAAGCCCGAGCTGGTGATGCAGAGGTGGCGGATTTAGGCAGCGCATCACGACCAAGTGGCGAGGGTCGGCGGCACCAGGGTGCAGCCCCTATAGCTAAAGCTTGCAGGCTAATTGCCGAGCGGCGACATGCTACCCCAGGAGGCGTAGCCGGATGTAATACCGCCCGGTGCCGCCGACCCTCCCCCCCCTGCCCAACTTTGAAAGCGAGGGGGAGGATCCACGCAGTGAGTTGTGTATTCATGCAGTTACCTTCGACTGCAACTCGTGCGTTTGCCGCCATGCCGGCCCGCAACAAGACAGTTGGCGAGCGCGCCGCGGAGCTGCAGCAGCCTGATGACGATGATGATGATGATGATGATGATTAGCCTTGCGACTGGAGATGCTAGGGGTGCGTAGCGATGGTCATCATCGTCAATGACGATTATCGTCATCCTGCTGCGCGCTGCTGGAGAGGCTAGGGATGCGTAGTGATGATTATCACATGTGCTGGAGATGCTAAGGATGCGTAGTGATGATTATCATCGTAGAGATGAGACGAGTGTCATCGTTGCTACTGGACATGCTAGGGATGCGTAGTGATGGTTATCATCGTCAGGCGCTGCTGGAGATGTTACGGATGCGTAGTGGTGATTATCATCATCCTGATGATTGTAGCTGCAGATGCTAGGGATGCGTAGTGATGATTGTCATGGCATGCTAGGGCTCATCACGAGGATCGCTGCTGGCGATGCTGTGACAGTGTGTGTAATAGGAATAGATAAACGATGATAATCGTCACTACGCATCTATAGCATCTCCAGCAGTGATGATCAGGACGATGATAAGCATCACTACGCATCTGTAGCATCTCCAGCAATCATGATTAGGATGCTGATAAGCATCACGAAGCATCGCTAGCGTCTCCAACCATGCCTAACGTGACTTTTCAAATGCCTATAATAGGAATACAAAGGCGATGAGCATCACTACGTAGCCACAGCATGAATGATAATCATCACTACGCATCCATAGCATCTTCAGCAGTGATCAAGATGATGGTAAGCATCACTACGCATCCGTAGCATCTCCAGCAGTGATGATCAAGATGATGATAAGCATCGCTATGCATCGCCGACATCTCCAACTGTGCCTAGTGATGATGATCAGGATGATGATAAGCATCACTACGCATCCGTAGCATCTCCAGCAGTCATGACCAGGATGATGATAAGCATCGCTACGCATCCGTCGCATCTCCTGCAGTGATGACCAGGATGATGATAAGCATCGCTACGCATCCGTCGCATCTCCTGCAGTGATGATCAGGATGATGATAATCATTGCTACGCATCGCCGGCTTCTCCAACTGTGCCTAACGTGACTTTTGAAATGTGTACACAAGGAACACAAAGGCGATGACCATCACTACGTAGCCACAGCGTCGCCCGCAAGCATCCGCGTGAATGACAATCATCACTACGCATTCGTAGCATCTCCACAGTGATGATCAGGATGATGCTAAGCATCGCTACGCATGGCCGGCGTCTCCAACTGTGCCTAACGTGACTTTTGAAATGAAAAAAAATAGGAATACAAAGGCGATGATCATCACTACGTAGCCACAGCCTCGCCGGCAATGACCCGCGTGAATGATAATCATCACTACGCATCCATAGCTTCTCCAGCAGTGATGAGCAGGATGATGATAAGCATCGCTACGCATCCGTAGCACCTCCAGCAAGCATGTTCAGGATGCTGACAAGCATCGCGAAGCATCGCTCGCATCTCCAACTGTGCCTAACATGACTTTTGAAATGTTTTGATAGGACTACAAGGCGATGAGCGTCACTACGTAGCCTCCAACTGTGCCTAACGTGACTTTTGAAATTTAAATTATGGGAGTACAAAGGCGATGATCATCACTACGTAGCCACAGCGTCGCCCGCAAGCATCCACGTGACTGATAACCATCACTACGCATCCATAGCATCTCCGGCAGTGATGTACGCATCCGTAGCATCTCCAGCAGTGATGACCAGGATGAGGATAAGCATCGCTACGCATCGCCGGCATCTCCAACTGTGCCTACCGTGACTTTTGAAATGTGTATAATAGGAATACAAAGGTGATGATGATGAGGGATTGGGATCATAGCTATCACGATGCCAGTGATGCTGATGGATGATGACGATGATGGTGATCATGATGATGAGCGCCTTTCTAGCGAGAAAATTCCACCAGCTGTTAACGAGCAGGTGCTCATCCGAGCCAGTTTCGGATGAGCATGAAGCAAAGCAAGCCCAGCATCTCCAGCAGCAATCACGATGATCCTCACCACATATCCTTGGCATCTCCAGCAGCGATGATCGGGATGATGGTGACCTAGCATCTTCAGTGGCAACGAGGATAGTCATCGCAGCGCCGCACTTCAAGTATGCAGAAGAAAGACATACTGGATGATGATGGTGAGAAGGATGATGATAATCATGTGTCTATGGAGCCAATTCCATCAGCTGTCCACGAGCACATGCTCATCCAAGCAAGTTTCGGGTGTGGTCCAACGCAAATTTAATTATCGTCGTAGTATCGCCAGTATCACCAATGCATCCTGTGCGTCACCACTTGGGCTAAGAGATTGTGATCATGAGTATCATCGTCGCATCCTCTGCATCGCCAATTGAGCCTAACGCCACACCTCAAGCGCGCAGAAGAAACCAATGCCGGATGCTGATGGTGATGATGGTGATGATGATGCTGATTTTGTGTAGCGGGCCAATTCCACCAGCTGTCAACATGCTCATCCGAGCAAGTTTCGGATGAGCGTGGTCCAAAGCCAGCTTGATGGTCGCCGACGCATGTTCTGCATCACCAACGCATCCTGCGCATCGCCAATTGAGCCCAACGCTGATGACGATGATGATGATGATTATCAGCCTTGCGACTGGGGATGCTCGGGATGCGTAGCGATGATCATCATCGTCAATGACGAGTGTCGTCATCTGCTGGAGAGGCTAGGGATGCGTAGTGATGATTATCACATGTGCTGGAGATGCTAAGGATGCGTAGTGATGATTATCATCGTCCCGATGATTGCTGCTAGAGATGTGATGAGTGTCATTGTTGCTACTGGAGATGCTAGGGATGCGTAGTGATGGTTATCATCGTCAGGCGCTGCCGGAGATGTTACGGATGCGTAGTGATGATTATCATCATCCTGATGATTGTTGTTGGAGATGCTAGGGATGCGTAGTGATGATTGTCATGGCTGCTACTGGAGAGGATCGCTGCTGGCGATGCTGTGACAATGTATGTAATAAGAATAGGTAAGAAATGATAATCATCACTACACATCTATAGCATCTCCAGCAGTGAGGACCAGGACGATGATAAGCATCACTACGCATCCGTAGCATCATCATGACCAGGAATGATGATATGCGTCACAAAGCATCGCTAGCGCATCTCCAACTGTGCCTAACGTGACTTTTGAGATGTAAATTATGGGAGTACAAAGGCGATGATCATCACTACGTAGCCACAGCATGAATGATAATCATCACTACGCATCCATAGCATCTTCAGCAGTGATGATGAAGATGATGATAAGCATCACTACGCATCCGTAGCATCTCCAGCAGTGATGATCAAGATGATGATAAGCATCACTATGCGTCGCGGGCATTTCCAACTGTGCCTAACGCGACTGTTGAAATGTACATAATAGGAATACAAAGGCGATGATCATCACTACGTAGCCACAGCAAGCATCCGCGTGAATGATAACCATCACTACGCATCCATAGCATCTCCGGCAGTGATGATGATCAGGATGATGATAAGCGTCACTACGCATCCGTAGCATCTCCAGCAGTGATGGCCAGGATCATCGCCGGCATCTCCAGCTGTGCCTAACGTGACTTTTGAAATGTGTATAATAGGAAGACAAAGGCGATGATCATCGCTACGTAGCCACAGCCTCGCCAGCAATGATCCGCGTGAATGATAATCATCACTACGCATCCATAGCATCTCCATCAGTGATGATCAGGATGATGATAAGCATCGCTACGCATCCGTAGCATCTTCAGCAGTGATGACCAGGATGATGATGAGCATCACTACGCATTGCCGGCATCTCCAACTGTGCCTAACGTGACTTTTGAAATGTGTATAATAGGAATACAAAGGCGATCATCATCACTACTTAGCCACAGCGTCGCCGGCAATGACCCGCGTGAATGATAATCATCACTACGCATCCATAGCATCTCCATGAGTGATGATCAGGATGATGATAAGCATCACTACGCATCCGTAGCATCTTCAGCAGTGATGACCAGGATGATGATGAGCATCACTACGCATCGCCGGCATCTCCAACTGTGCCTAACGTGACTTTTGAAATGTGTGTAATAGGAATACAAAGGCGATGATCATCACTACTTAGCCACAGCCTCGCCGGCAACGATCCAGAGCATGTCCAATCAGGATGATGATACGCATCACTGCGCATCCGTCGCATCTCCTGCAGTGATGATCAGGATGATGACAAGCATCACTACGCATCGCCGGCATCTCCAACTGTGCCTAACGTGACTTTTGAAATGTAAACTATGGGAGTACAAAGGCGATGATCATCACTACGTAGCCACAGCCTCGCCGGCAATGATCCGCGTGAATGATCATCATCACTACGCATCCATAGCATCTCCAGCAGTGATGGATCAGGATGATGATAAGCATCACTACGCATCCGTAGCATCTTCAGCAGTGATGACCAGGATGATGATGAGCATCACAACGCATCGCCGGCATCTCCAACTGTGCCTAACGTGACTTTTGACATGTGTATAATAGGAATACAAAGGCGACGAGCATCACCATATAGGCGATGAGCATCGTCGCCGGCAACCATCTGCGTGAATGATAACCTAGCGAGCCAATTCCATCAGCTGTCAACGAGCGCATGCTCATCCAAGCAAGTTTCGGATGAGCATGGTCCAACACAGATTTAATTATCGTCGTAGTATCGCCTGTATCACCAATGCATCCTGTGCATCACCAACTGGGCTAAGAGAGTGATCATAAGTAGAAACCAATACCGGATGATGATGGTGATGATGATGTTGATGCTGATTGTGTGTAGCGGGCCAATTCCACCAGCTGTCAACATGCTCATCCGAGCAAGGTTCGGATGAGCATGGTCCAAAGCCAACTTAATGGTCATCGTAGCATTTTCTGCGTCACCAATGCATCCTGTGCATCACCAATTGAGCCTAATGCTGATGATGATGATGATGACGATGATGATGATGATGATGATGATGATGATGATGATGATGATGATGATAAGGGATTGTGATCATAACTATCATCACATGCTGATGCAATAGTGATGACCTTCCACCCTTCCCGTGCGCCTCCCCCTTTCAGGACAAGGGGTCGGCGGATTTTGGCAATGAACTGTAGCCTCATGCTTTGCCATGCTTTGCAGGTGGTGAGGCTTGCTGTTTCGGGTTCATGGGCAAGCCATTCCCTGAGAGTGCAACATGCACACCTTTGTTGTTATCCAAATGGTCATTTTTGGTGGGGAGTGTGCTGTTCCCCTCCAACAAATCCACCCAATTTTTCCTACACGAGGATGACACGGGAAACACACGGCTTTCTTGGATCTCCTGCCAGTCAGTTGCACCACACGTTTATTTGCTTCCCGGCAGCTTCGGCTTCACGTTTTGCCAAAATGCCATGCTGTGGGCTTCCTTGCCCCAACCACAGCTGATATCAGGGAAACTACCTCGTGGGGTAAGAATGGATCAGAGGGCGGTGCGTTGGCCTAGGAAAAGGTTCCAGCGCGGTGGGACCCGCTTCGGCTGAGGCTTGGAAACCATCCCAGGAGGCGCATTTGCGCGCCAAGGTGGAGGCACCGGAGGCGAGGCCCGCTGTGCCTCAGTTTGCGGTTTGTGTCTTTGTTTTTGACCTTGTTGTTTTCAACAAGTTATGTTCCTTTTTGGAGGGGGCACACTGTTCTATTTTCCAACTCTATCAAGTGTTTTCGCAACAGGCCGAAGAGCAATCATGTTTGTGTGAATGTGCATGTGGGTTGCCTACTTCAAGAATTGGGGCCAGCGTCATTTGTGTTTCTTGTTGCATTCATGAGACACTGCCGCGTGAAACCGGGTCTCAGTCATAGCCATCAAGCTGGGGTAAAATGAAGGCGCGCCACCATGAAGAGCACCGGGGAATTTTGGAGGTTCGTGTGCAAGCGAATCATGGCGATGGCTTCTCAAGCGTTATTCGTTTGGGTCTAGTTCAGAAGATGTGATCTAATTTTTCGCGGGGCTCCCTTCTTTCCAGTCGACTCACTGTCATTGCAGATCTTTTGGCTTCACCCTGCCCGCCCTTGAAGGCACAGGCACGGCCTGCACAGCCGAGCAACCAGGCGCGAGCCCTGACTGCCGGGGTCTCTAAACGGCCTACAGAACTCCATTCACGGTTTCATTCTTTTGTTTGGAAGATTGGATGAATGGAAGGGGGTGTGGGCTTTCCATGCCTCTTCTCAAGGCGGGGAGATCCAAAGAAGCTTCGGCATTTTTGGCTGTTCAAGGTGGTCGAACAACCGTGGCGAGCGTCCCAGCCAGGCCAGCCCTTTCTAACTCATCTTCGCATCATAGTGCTGTGCGCGAAACAGCTACAGCTGCGATCATCGAAACCTTTGCAGCTGTTACAACCGCTTTAACCGTTTTTGATGTTTGTGTGATTAGCCATGGTTTATTTCATCACCAGGGATGTCATGTAGTGATTGAATCTGGTAAAGTTTGGCTCAAAGTCAGTTCCGTTGCGCTCAGTCATGTCGCGATCCCCAGGTCGACTGGACGGGTATCTTGGGAGAAAGAGACCTCGCTGCCAAGCAGGTTGGTAGGGACCGTCAGCGTCTGTTGATCATCAAGGCTGTGTCAACCTCTTTCTTGCTGGCTGGTTTTCCTGGCTGTGTTCCTTAGTGTGGGAAACCCTGATCTTTGGGACCGGGGATTGGTTTGCTTTTGGGGAACCTTTCTTTTGTGGCTTGTTTACCCCAACTTACCCATTGCCTGGGCACAGGCTCGTGCCCGAATCACAGGTTATCAGCCGTAGGACCTTCCTACGCGCTTGAGACCATCAACTACAAGCTCTATGTCGACCCCACGATCTCGAAGGAGCGTCGTGGATGAGGAGGCCATCCTAGGTGGCCTCCGCTCTGGTGAGGACCTACCGGACTATGACTACGAGGATTTCGAAGCAGGTTCGACAGGTCAGGACCGCAGGGGTGAAGATCCCGGTAGGGATACACCCAGGAGCCGTGGCAGGTACGCCGACGATGGAGACGATCGTATTTTCCGCCAGGCCATTGATGACGAGCAGACACGAAGGGTTTACTCCGATAGGAGTGGCTCTGAATCAGGTCACAGGCGTGGACGTTTTGACTTCATCAGCATGGCGATGGACATGGCCCGCCCTCATTCGGATGACCCGGAGGCCATGCCGATTCGACCTCCGAGATCTCTTGTCCCAGGTGAGTCGCAGGTCTCGGATGAGTTTGAGAATAGGCCGCAGGGACCAGGGACAATGGTTCTGGCTCCGGGAGGTATCCCGTGACCCATTGGTTCTCAAAATCCAGGTCAGTTTGATGAGCACGAGGAGCGGAAATTCACGGACTTCGGATACGATGATCTGTTGAAATCAACCGCAGGTTGGGGCAGTAGCTCAAAGCAGGGATCTGATGCCGGTAGGCCCAACCCTAATACTGCCAAATCTGAGTCTTATGATGGCGAAGGTTACAATTTTGCGGATGAGGAGGAGAGACATTCGCGCCGAAATGCAGGCAGCCGTGCGACTGCAAGGACTAGTCCCGCCGCTGCCAAGTTTGAGGTCGATGATGATGACGAGTATGCCGCATTTGCGGATCGCCGTGATGAGGAGGAGGCCCAACCACGACGAAATGCTAGGATCCGTGATGCTGCGAGGCCCAGGAGCCTCTCTCGTGGAGCCGCCAGGGACCTTCGCGTTGACAGGGATGCCCGAAGCGAGAGAGAGAGAGCCAGGGACAGTCGGGAAGTTCTTCGGGGATTGGAGGCCATTCATGACCGCGAGGGACCGGTAGGTCCCCCGGCGATTGGTGATTCCCCGAATGTTCCCCCCTTTCCCAACATCACATTTGGAGGTCCGTTGAGTCAGAGAGACGTGAGCTCGAACCGGGTTACTGGTTCACCGAGGATCACTGAGCGGGCTGCCGATGTTGTTAGGACAGGTGCCAGAGATGGTCGGCTTGCCGATGCACTCGGGATCGAAGATCGTCCGTCGATCGCTAGCCCGTTAGGGCGAGATACCAGTGATCTTGAAAATCTGAGGTCAAGCAATGAGTTCACACCTCAATGGGGTTCGACTGCCAGG